GTTTGTTAACTTCTCATCCTTCTAAATTTATTATAGTTATTGGGTTGTTTCCTCAAGATCATGCTTTTTTTTATTTTATTTTAAACAATGTTGGAAGCTTTTGTTACAGTTTTGGTCCTATGTGTTTTTTATTATTCTCAATTAGTTAACACTCTATTTGGTTACTCAAAAGATGTGCTTAAAAGGGGAAAAGAGATAAATGAATTTCATGCACAAATTCTCGCATTTACTATTTTAAAATGCAAAATTCTTTTATTCATTTTTTTTTTATATTTTGCCTTGGATCTAACGAGCGTTTGGAGATCAAAATCTCATGCATGCATTCATTTTTTTTGTTTGTACTTATTTGTTGTTCCAATTTCATTGTAGACATAAGTTTTCCCAATAGGTTTCTTAGGAAATATGGAGGAGAAACACATTTTTTCATAAGTAAAAATATTGATGACAAAATGAATAAGGAGAATTTGAGTGAAAATGATCTTGTTATTGAGAATTAGTTAATTTTAGTATCATGTCCATTGTTTTTATTGAATTGCTTATGTGTTTGTTACTATAAAATTCTCAACAACGATTACACTAAGTTTTTTAAGAGAAGATTACTCCAAAAGATAAGCAGTCTAACACAGTTGCTTTCCTTTCAGTTGTTTCTTTAGATTTTGGATCCCTCTGTCATGTTCATTGATCTTCTTATATTTTTTATCCTATTTAAGGTTTTTGTCTTATCTTATGAATCATTTTCCCCAAAACATGGAGCTTATCTTATGTTAGTTCAATATTCTTTGAATGCTCTCTTGCCCTTTAGCAATTTCACTAACTCAAATGTGTGATTCTCATGCAAAGATTCTCTCTTTTCCATCAAATATGGTAACATCTATTTGTTCAATTTTATTTTTTTTAATTTTTTGTTTGGTTTTTGAGAAAACGAAATGTGAATAGAAAAGTTTCATATTTTTTTTATTTTTTTTTTAAGGTTTAGGGTTCGTTCTATTCCTATCGCCTTATTCTTACTATTCCCTACCTTATTGTCAACTTGGGCACATATTTGATAATGCAAAGAATCTTAGGGAAGTTTTTTATGGTGATTGAATTGAAAACTCTCGTTATGTGATGGGTTTGGACTTTAAGCTGATTTCTTTATGTCTATCAATTTTCAGTGAATGATAGGATTATTTGTTTGCAGTTTAAAATGAAAAAACTACAAATGTGCAGTATTTTATGTTGTAAAATTGTTGATAAGAAAATTACAAAGGCATTAAATACTAATTTTCTTATTATTGTTATCTAATGTAGGCTGACTTTATAAAGATATCATTTCCTAACAACAACTTTGAAGCAACTTATGTAATTGAAGCTATCTGCCATGCATCGAATGCTATATGTCAATTTAAAATTTTCCCATCTCAGTCATGATTATTTTCATCTCAACTAGAATAGATTATGAAGTTTCTATCATATATTGATTTGTTTTTGTTTGATTTGATTTGATTGTTATTTCTATTGACTAGTATGGATGCTACAAGAAGATTTACAAAGTATTAAAGCTTGGTCAGTGTTTTGCCTTGTATGACTGATGCATAACTGATTCTTTTAATCCACATAACCAAGAATATCAAAAAATTAAAGTTCGCATCTAAAGAGCATTAAAATGCTCCTTGGTTTATGGTGTATCCATAAGTTGATGTTACATGAAAGTTTTACTTATACAGGTAGAAATTAAGATTGGTGTGGTCTTCCATATATCAGGTTGACTAGATAGTGCCTAAATGCTTTAAAAAAGCCTAGTTTTGAGGTGAATTTTTGCTTTTCTCCCATTTTCCCTCCTTTTTTTTTTCTTTTTAATTGGAAATGGAATATGACTAGTAATTATTTCTATTTTGTCTTCTAGGTTATATGGAAGAAAGATAAAGCTCTTGACTTTTTTGTCCCTTGATACCTACCTTTAGATAAAAATCACTTCTCATTAAGTAGCTTCCCTCTAACAGCTATTGGACACTTCATCATTAAAAATATGGTAAAAACTTTTAAAGACTTTTCCATTCTAATGATTCTCTTTATGAAAAAACAATGTTCTTGGATGAGATAGTCATATTAAGTTCATAAGTGTTTACCTCTAATTTTTCCCTGTTGTAGTTCAAGGTTCTAGAATTTGTGGGATTTACTCCAAAGGAAGTTAAATGGTTCAAGATTTTTTGGAGAAGGCTACAAAAAGGTTGGTTGAATGTGGCATGTTAGTTAGAAGTCATATTTCTCCATGGTTTTTTCTATATATTGGTTTACCCTTAACTTCGATCTTTGTCACGCCTACTTAGGCTATTTCCTCCATCAAGTCTTTTTTTTTCTCTTTTTTTAAAATATTTTTTAATGTATAAAGTATTAAATGATAGTTCTTTTTCTGTTTTGTTTTGTTTTGCAGGGGTTGGTTTTTTCCAAAAAATAGAACTGGGATTGTTAGAATAGTATCATTGGCATCTGCTATATCAGACTCAACCACTTCAGATTTGGATAATAATAAAAAAAAAAAACAAGAATCCCATTATCGTTATTGACAATTATGATAATTTCACCTACAATCTTTGCTAGGTTTTGATTGCATGTTCAAAATTTTGTGTTCTTTGTCCAAATTTTTGCTTTCTCTGAATTTTCTTTATGGTTTAAGGCTTGATTCTGGAATGCTATTTGATTGCCTACAAATCTTTAGGAAAAACAAAAAAAAAAAAATAGAAATATTGGTTGGTTGGCTCATTGAAATTTTTTGTATTTTGTATTTGAAAGAATATATTTTGATTGTTAGGGAAGACTTGATAATTTAATTAAAGTTGAGAAATCTAATTAAAACTAGTATAATGGGAAAAAAAATTTCTTGGTTAGATTGGTTTCTTCTTATAAGAATTCAAATAAAATGCATGCATATGTAAATATAATTGAAAATTTATTGTTGCATAATTGTTAGTTTTGGGTATTTCATTTCATTTTTGTTTTTAATTGCTTATGGTTTTCGGTGGTTCAATTAAAGAATAATGAAATATGTCTAATAATGTGAAAGAATGCATTCTTTACAAAAATCAACGAAATGGGATTATAATTAGATTATAATTTCATAAATGCATTTATTTGATCAAATGAATTGTTTTCTATACACTAATTGCATCTATAATTATTTTACTATATTTTTTTGTGTAACTTTAACAGGTTGCATCTATAACCATTTTATTATTATTTTTATGTAACTTTAATAGGTTTCTGTAATTTCCCTTTCAAGTAATGGTGCAAGAAGAAAAGATTTTGATAATGCTGGATTGGCCTTTCATTTTATTTTATTTAGCCTTCCAAAAATTTTATCATTGATTTTTTTTTCTTTGATTTAAAACTAAATCTGATTGAAAATCTTACACTTTAGGATGAAGCTTTATCGATTTAATGGTGCCAGGATATACCTCAAAAAAGGTATCATATTTGTTCGCTCTAATTCTCAAATAAATTTTCATCCAATTAAGATTTAAATCTGTTGATATTATATTGACCATCAAATGATAATGCATAAATTTCATTCTACATAAAAAAATTCTTATTTTATTATATGTTAGTATAAAAAAGATTAAAAAAAAATATTAAAAAATATAAAAAATTTATATCCTCGACAAAGCAAGGGCAGCCTACTAGTAATAATAAAAAAAATCAACACCAGCATAACAAAAAATTGAAAAAAGATTTTTTTCACTACATAAAAATTAGTAAAAATTTATACTATTTTAGCCGATGATGAATAATGTCTTTCCAATCACTTTATAATTGAAATTTAATGATTTTTTTATGAAATTAAAATTTAATGGTTTTAAATTGAATCTATAAATAAATAAAATTTATTAAAATTATAAAAATGATTTAGACAAATTTTAATAATTAATTTAGTCGAAAATGTATTAACAATCATTATACAACACAGTGAAAATTTTTACGTGGAAAGATAGTTTCCTCAAAAAAATTAAAAGTGAGAGACCCAAGCATCTGACGGTCCAATGAGGGGTGATCAACTGGGCTAAAGCTGAAGATAATTGCCGTACTGAACTATAGTAAAAGACCGAATCAACTGCTACTGAACAAGTCCATTGGACAGCCCATGGGCTATAGCTCAATTCAGTTTACAGATTGCTTGCACTGCCGCTGCCTCGGTTTCGTTAGATTTTAATGTCTGAAAAATGAGAAGGATAGAGCAACAATAACCAAATGTGAGAACAGATTTTGGCTCTGACTGGAAAGCGAATGGCAAATCATCGTTGTTATAGATGTTTACAATCTGTTGAATCAAAACACAACAAAAGTTTAAACCTAGTTATGAACTCTGCCTAGTAACACAAGATATTCATATACCAAGTGTGAGCTCTGAAGTCTGAACATTTTTGCATGATCTGGGAAAGAAGTTCAGATAAACTGGGGAGTTCTAAGTGTTTTAATAAAAGTCATATCACATCCCATCCCAAACCCACCAAACTATTTTCAATCAAATTTGATTTATGACTTAAAACCCCCCACCAGGTATGAACACTTAAAATTCCACTTTGAACATTTGAAAGAAGGATGAAATTAATGAATGGAGAGTTCCTTTCTAAGCTGATAAGACCCAGCCCGCCAGTTTATCAGAAACCATAGGAGGGAGCTGAATGTGCAGCCAAGTGACGATCCTCGAACAGTAACTGAGAGTGACAGTCTGACTGCGAAGTGTGGACATCGATCGAATCTTCCAGGATCAATTTTTGTGCCCTAAACTTAAAAGTGTTACCAGACACTTGTCACCACAAACTTTTTCCAAAATGCCATCAAATTTCACTTTGCGTGTCCAAATAACCACAAGATGATCGACACGTTCGGATGCAAAAGGACGAAAAAGGTGGACCTCCTTTTTTGACTCCAGACACAGTGTGGCGTCAACTTATTGGTTCTATCTGCAAAGCCAGCTTTACCATTGGCGTTGTCCTGACGCTACGATCCAAAGTTGCTGTTGTCAAAGAATTATTTTAGACTCAAAACGTGGCTTTCTCGCATTGCACGACGATGAAAGTCGCTTCTAAACGAATGACTTTCCTGGGAAACACCGTTCAATAAATTAAGATGGGAGTACTTAGATATTCATATTCTTTCAAGTCCTGTAACCAACAGATGAATATTGATATGATTTATTTCATGTCTAATGGGTTGGGAATACGCGTTTTAGCCTGCGAAATCCTTGTATCAGCACATCGTCATCCAAATTGAGCGTGAAAATAACGTTTGTTTGATCCCTGTACGCTGAAACAAATCATACAGAAACTTTTCGTCTTTAAGAAACCTACCTAGATCCCAAATCACAAAATAGAACTCATGCAAGTTGCATAACCAATCACGTAGCGACCTATATATTCGAGGGACGGTTCATAGACAAATGTCTATGTTGGTTGAGAGAGAAACCCACACAAGGTTGTCCAACAGGTGTCCCAATAGAGCATCAACATTACAATCGGTATTTTCCCATTCAAAATCGGCTTTAGCCCTACCCCTCGGATACCCTCACCACTTAGGCACTTGTCCCAATCTTATTACTATATTTATATACATCCACCTCTCCATCTTATTTTGCTTCACCCTCTATTCTGCAAAACAGGTACTACCGTGTTGGCAATGAGAGAGCAACTCCAAGCAGTAGCGACGGTGAAGGTGGAACTTGGTTTATATGGTTTAGATCAGGACATGCACCCTCCTATTACAAATGTTAGACCCAACAACAAGAACAAGAGAAGATTCAGTGATGAACAAATTAAGTCACTAGAGTTCATGTTTGAGTCAGATTCAAGACCGGAGTCGATGATAAAACATCAACTAGCTAATGAGCTTGGACTACAGCCCCGACAGATTGCTATCTGGTTCCAGAACAGGAGAGCTAGGTCCAAAACTAAGCAAATTGAGCGAGATTACAACATTTTGAAAAAGAGTTACGATGCTCTTGCTTCTAGCTATGAATCCTTGAAAAGAGAGAATCAATCCTTGAGTATCCAGGTATCTCCTTTGTCATTCACTATGCATGTTGAAACACTTTGATTGCCAGTTCTAATGCTAGGGGTTTCTCAACAGTTGCAAAAACTGAAGAGTCAGCTTGAGATGGAACATGGAAACAAAACCTATGGACCAAACAGAACAGCCGGAAATAGTGGTGATGGCAAATCCGGGAACATGAGTGCTATATTTGACGCGAAGGAGAAGATCACCTTTCTATTTGAAGGCTATGACCACATGCTTTCAAGCGATAAAAATAGCAGAAATGTTGAGAGCACGGATGAGGATAGAGTGGTTCTGGAAGTGATGGAAACCAGAGATGGCTCCTTGACGTCATCAGAAAAATGGTGCGGTTTTGAATCCAATTGTTTCCTGGACGAGTCAAGTTGTAGTTCAAATTGGTGGGAATACTGGTTAAGGTTGAATGGAAATTAAAATATGCAGCCGTTGCATCGAGGAATGAATTAAATATGAAATTTAGATCTCTCTGCATATAATTCTATCCCCCATGTAACCAAAACCATGATGCACGCACTTGCCGTTCTTTTTCTTATTTCTTTCTTTTTTATTCAGAGCAATCCCAGTTGTTAAAACTATACTTCCCAACAACAAAGCTGAGAGACAACTGAGAAAAGCTTCCTACACCTGGATTCTCCATGGTTTCAAAAACAATCAAGACACTTATGACAAGGGCTAAGGCCTCAAGCTGGATACCGTGCTAGTATGTTTTTATGTCCGCAAGCAGGATCACAAAGTCGCAGACAATAGTTTTCCCCCGGTTTTTATACTCATTTAATCGTATAGAAAAATGCAAGCAGAATGATAAAATGTTATAGTAGCACAAATGAAGCAAAGAAGAAAACTACATTCATTATTAAGGCAGAAAGAACCATAATTCTATCCCCCATGTAACCAAAACCATGATGCACGCACTTGCGGTTCTTTTTCTTATTTCTTTCTTTTTTATTCAGAGCAATCCAGTTGTTAAAACTATACTTCCCAACAACAAAGCTGAGAGACAACTGAGAAAAGCTTCCTACACCTGGATCCTCCATGATTTCAAAAACATTCAAGACACTTACAGTGGCATGACAAGGGCTAAGGCCTCAAGCTGGATACCATGCTAGTATGTTTTTATGTCCGCAAGCAGGATCACAAAGTCGCAGACAATAGTTTTCCCCCAGTTTTTCATTTAATCGTATAGAAAAATGCAAGCAGAATGATAAAATGTTATAGTAGCACAAATGAAGCAAAGAAGAAAACTATATTCATTATTAAGGCAGAAAGAACCTCACAGAAAAAGAGGCAATCTAGAAGAAGGATTGTGCCCCTTGACTAACACATGAAAATAAATCAACTAACAACAAACATTTTAACATTACAAGCAAGAAAACCCAGAAAACAGGGGGGAATTCTAAACCAAAATCTCAGTCAAATAGCTGAATAACATACAGTTCTGAAGCAAAAACACAATTCTGCCTTTCTAAGTTTCCAAGTACTAAGAAAGTAGGAATGATTGCCAGAATATTCTCTCCTTACAACTAGAATAACTGCCAGAAAATTCTTTGCTTTTATTCTCCAAACTCCTAAAGTCTCATGTCAATCTCTAAATCAATGGCAACTACTCAGCATTGATCATAGAATAAAACATTTAACAAGTTGTTTATTTGAGGGAAAAAGAATGAGAAACAGTACAATAGTTTTCATTGCATTAATCAAGAACACAGAGAATGCTCAAAAGTTCCCATCATCAATAGCGGAAAGAGTGTACTACAAATTGTCACATCATTAATACAAGCAGGAAGTGATGTTAAATCAGAATTTATTGATCACATCTTGTACATACAGAAACCTACATAGATGAAAAGGGGAGAAAAAAACTCCAAATATTAACATCTAAAGCTCAGTTTTGACCTTTATATCTCCATTTGGTAACATGCTTTGTGATTGAGCAAGCCGTTTAGATTCCTGCATTGCACAAGGAGCTTTTGCTTACACAATCAGTGAAAAATACTTAGTATAGACTAGAGATTGACAAAGTGAGACATTCAATTTTCAAGGAAACGGCAGAAAAGTACTAATAAACTTAACGAATTAATCAATTTGAATGATCCATGGTTTAGTCTTATGTGAAATCACTTTACTCTATGGCTCCTTATGACATGCACACCTGAAATATTGCATTATATATTTCATCTTTAAAGTATTTCCTATCCATTTTAGCTATAGCAATTCAAACGTGCTCTTAATGCTTCTTAAGATTATAAGATATGCAGTTCAGATATCATAAACAAATGTTCTTAATGCTTCTTCTTATTTAAATAAATAAATAGGTAAATGCTTGTTTCCACTTTTCTCAAGTACCAAACAGAGTTTTGTAAGCAAATGCAAGAAAAACACAGGACATGGATGCAAAGAAAGTTCTGAATAAACAAATAATGTTTTGGAATGCCTTCATTTAGTGCCTTATCCAGACTAAAAGGTTGTGCTGTCCATGAGAATGAAATGATGACAGAAACAAAAAAAAAACACACACCCACACACACCAAATAAGGAGAACATAAGCTTGAGTATTTTCTAACAAGCAGGCAAGAGAAGGTCCAACCAAGGATGAAATCAGAGAGGAGGGTAACAAGAGTTTGCAGTGAGAGTGAACTAGTGAACTAAAAGCTTTGCCAAGAGGCCATGAATAAGGGGGCTTTCCACATAAGAACCAAAATCCAACCATTATTACATTTCAGATAACATATCATCAGCCAGGGCATTGACAAGAACTGATCACTATTTCTCAAGGATAACATGAATAGAAAGACATTCATATAAAGTCAGCTTAAAATAACTCACAGCTGCAGAACTCGCACGTATCTCCCTGTACGATTCAACTTCGTCAGGAAATGTCTGTTCAAGCTCTTCCAGAAGATGCTTTCGTAAACTCTAAAAAATTTAGTAGAGTAAATAAATATCTACTAGTGCTCAATAAAATGAAAATTAGAATAAAATATCCAATACGAGGAATTAAGAACTACCTTGAAGGCATCGGTTTTGCCTTTAGTAACCTGATTTTTTGCAATACAGCTGTTTAAAACGTCCCTCGTAAATTCATCAGGGTTCTTCCCATCATCAATCAAACTAAGCCAAACAGGAACAAATTACTACTAGGAACTAAAGAAAACAAGCTAATTTTGCCACAAAACACCAAAAAAAATAATAATAATAAAAGAAAACCAAACCCACTTAAGAACTTCCATAGGAACTTGAATATTACATTTCTCAGATAATTTTGCCATGTTATCAAGCTCCGTAACTAATGAATTCCTGCAACAAAAACAATAAGACCCTAATGAGGTAAGCAATGCAGCAAAAACTAACTTAAATTTTAGCGAAAAATAGAAGGATTTTGAAGAAAATTTTACAGGCGTTGAAGGAGAGGGAGCTGAGAAGCGGCATTGAAAGAAGAGACGGTGAGGTATAGTTGATGGAGAAGGCCTAAAGTTTTCTGGATGGAGTTAATTACTTGACTCAGATTCTGCTTTGGATCATCGTTAGGCGTTGCGTTTGCCGTATCATTGGTTTGAGTGCTGACTATCCCATTCCCACCGCTCCCTCCCTCCATTTCTCGAGACTTGCAAGTCCTTCCTTTTCTACTATGATTGATTCGTAATAAATATCAAAACTTATAATTAAATAAATCGATAGATGCTTCAAACCCTAGAGAACAGATGATAGAGAATTGAGGTCTTGAATAAACCCTTTTAATCTGGGCAAAGACTAAAAGAAATTTGCGAGAGATTTCGCAGGAATTGAAATACCTCCGTCACCGAGGAGCCCCGAACCAATTCGCCTCTTTTTCTTTCTCGTTTCCAGCTTTGTTTTTGGGCCTTCAGTTTTGTTTCTGCTGCTTTTTCTTGATAAGAGCACATTAAGGCCCAGGTAGAACTAAGTTACAATTTGAGTGACATTGGGCCCAATTTGTTTGGGGTACAGGACATATCCTTCTTCGAGGTTTTCGTCGAAAGAAAGTGAAATCAGTCTGCTTTCACTTTCAAACCCACTTTAAGGTAACATTAAGACGCAGAGCCCAGCTGCAGCTAATGCTGCCTTAAAAATTAAAATAGACCAAGTCCCAGCTTTCTTTTTATTTTTTTATTTTTTTATTTGAGAATTGAGCATATTATGTAACAATTACAATCAAATATTAGGTCTGCGAAACATGTTAATTTTTGTATAATATTTAAAAATTATAATTAATGTATTATATCTTTTTCAATTTAATTAAAACAATGCACCAAATGAATCTAAAATAATATTTTAACTGTTTTTACTCAACCTCCATAGTTTATGAATGGCTAAAGGATAAAAAATATCTTGAAGTATCATTCAATAATTATTTAATCTTTTAATATTTTATTATAATTAATTAAAATTTAAGTAGATGTAAAATTTAATCATTTAATCTCTAAATTACAAAATTCTAAGAGGAATTTAAAAAAAAAAAAAGAGAGAAAAAAAAGAAAAAAATTGTTTTATTTAATTTTTAATATATTAATTTGGGTTATATGAAAAACTTTTATTTATATTGTTGATATTATATAAAATTTTATTTTATTTGATAAAAAATTAACAGTGTTAATTTTTTATTCAAATAAAATTTTAATTAAATGCAAATAAATAATAGAGAAATTGGTTGATTATAATATAAAAATAAAAATATGGATTTTTTTAAATTATAATTCAAATATTTTTATGCTCTTTAGCCTTTATAAATCTAATGCTGAAATTCCCTCCCCATCCCCCCCCCCCCCCCCAAAAAAAAAAAAGAGTTTTTCATCAAATTTGGGGGATTGTATAAGAACTCCAGATAATACACTATAATATATTTTGATAGGAGATTTTTCTACTTCTTTGGATCACAAAATATTACTTATAAAAAAAAAATCTAATGTTGAAAGAGAAATGAGATTTTGTTGTCTTTTTCTATTTTTCAAACAAAATTGTCATATCAATCAATAGAGTATAGACTATACCTTATAAAATCATGATTATCACAAAGATGCCCCGTCGCACAAATGTAAGTGCTTCATAGTGAAAAGGAAAAGAGAGCCTGTCATTAATGGAGATGGAAACTGACTGAAATGAAATCAATATTCAATGCCATTTCGGCTTATTCATTTTCAATAAAATTTACATGAAATATTTTAGATGAAATTTATGAGATTAATTTTAAAAATAAATTAAAAAAATTTAAATTGATAGATTGATATAATTAATATGAAATTTAATATGAAATTTAATAATACATAAAAAAATTATTTATAATTCAATTTGATTGATACTGGATGATGTGAACCCATAGCGAACCTTCTCATCAATTCGTTTGCAGGTCAATTTTCCAAACACATTTGCCTCTTAAAGCAATGGCTGAATAAAACACCTTTACTTTTACCAGCTGTACAGTTCCTTGGTGATAAATCAAAGGAAAAAAAAGGTCCTCAGAACAGCTGGTTGGCCAGAAAACAAGAGAAGAACGGTTTCAAATATTCTGCTTCATTCAGGAACATATGCTTCATCACTTGCACTTTACTAAATTTATATATTAAGAACCATTTGATTAGCCGAAGTCACTGCCAAGCCTTTATACAACTTGCAATTAACTTTTTCACAGGTTTTAATCAACTTGTAATTTATAGAGTACAGAATTATAAAGCAAAGTGCGAGCTTTAGATGCAATGTGCATATTTCTGCTACAAGAATAAAATAAATCTTAATGAAAGGACCAGCCGTTTGCTGTAGATGTGAGATTGGCTGAAAATGCGTGCAAATTATTATATGCAAAGCACACCAAAAAGCAGAGAGGGACCGATTCATCAAATAATATACAGAGGAGGATCATGTATTGCTTATTAAAGTATCAACCAAGCGGTCCCTCCCTGGTTTTATGTGTACAGCTCAATCCCCCTGCTTTTCTCTCCATCAAATGACAATTGAAGATGTCGATATCATTACCTACTCCCCAAACATGCTTGGTTATATGTTAAGGATAAAAAATCTGCAAATTAAGCTAATCATACTAAACCTCGTACGTAGCTTGATAGAATATGAATGTAATGGAGCAAAGGAAAAAAAACAAAAACAATATTCCTTAACAACCTAGCTTTAGATTCCTAGAAGGGCAGATAGAACGTCCTTGCAGTTATAGGTACAAAGGTCATCTCTCAATTTAGAAAAACCTCTTATGTTTTTATTGCAGGCGGCCACCATGTACCTTTAGTTGGATACAGAGCCTCACAGGGCCAGGCTACTTGGTAGATGGAATCGTTTCCATCCTGTTGGTCAGGTATTGAGTTTGGGATACACAAGTGCCCAAGCCCCAAGGTTTGGTCACTTCCTTGTTACTAAAAGGGAAAAAAATAGTAGCATGATGTCAATATTACGGGAAGCTAATGATTTCCCCATCTCATTTGTCACTAATCGTGGTCTTATATCAGAGTATCCATGATGATAAAAAAACTTGCAGAAACTTGATAATAAAGCAACTCCAGAAGCCAACATCCTAGATTCTATCTTCAGTTTGTGAATGATTAAGGTTTTGTCTTTTAAATAGGAAATGAAAACCAATTTGTACCAAATGAATCATAGAATCTGTGTTAGTCATCTTAGGGTGGAAAAGAAGAAAAGGAGGTAAATTCGAATGGCTTAGCCGCCTATGGCACTCAAATGTGATCTACCTTCAGACTTCACATGATTGCAGATTGCAGAATATATATTGAAACAAGCTCGATCCTCCCCAATAAGCTTTCAAGCCAAGTTAAATGAAAAATTTTGCCTATGAGCTTTGACCAATAAATTGATCCACAAATATGATAAAAGCCATTTACCACTGTCAAGTTCATCAATACTAATCAAGAAAGAGAACCACCCTGATTTGATCATACCAAAATCATCTTGGGCAATAATCATTAATTTCCAGGATTTTACATTGTGGTAACTTTAATGGTCCTTAACATTGATGAATCGCTACCTTTTTTGCTGGGATAAAGAAACTGATATGCAATAGCAACTTGTTTGTCAATAACCATTAATATATCCAAATAGAGAAAACTATATATGGAGATGGATGTTCTGTTCTGAATAGCAACCCTTTAAGCTGTCAAGTTGAACAGAATTAAAGCACTAAGCTAATCTTTATCTGGCATCAAATCATCTCACAGGAAAAGAATAAAGCCTCATTTCCTTCATGTTTATTTCATAAATAGATATCCTTCTTTCAATATTGATAGTGCTTCTTTGCTATGTTAATATATTACTTCCATAGCAGTTATCAAATTAATCAAAGTCCTAGATTGAGATTTACACCAAACATGTGGCACCCAGCACTGTCAATTGTAAATCAATAACTAATTGTAACACAACGAAGACAGAGAACAGTAGAAATCCAAAATCAGAAGGCCACCAATGTGTATCTAATTCAGGCATAATTAAAATGGATCTTTGCACTTTGTAACTCACATTGATCAAAAGAATAATGAAGAAATAAGAATGCTGTTTAGCCACCACCAATATTTTGAGCAAATTGGAAGAGCTCTAAGGGAATCTTAAAGGACAGTTAACTATGATATAACATAATTTCCTGCTAAACATTCAAAGATTCATAGTTGAGTTAATTTAAACCTTCCATTGCTTTTCTTCTGTTTTCGAATGGAATCCAATCACCCCAAGCGCTTTTTGTTGCTCAAGTGAGAAAGACTAATCTAGTCCACTGATTTTGAGAACATCGACTCAATCACTTGAATAATTATAAGTTACAACATGTAAATTGTGATAAAAAAAAATCCTAATTCCAAAGGGTTATGCTTTAGCATAAAAATATTCTGTTCTTGAAGGAATACGATATGATGAAACTGTAAAAGTACATGTTCTTTGCTCCATGTAGAACACAGTGAACCTGCTTGGACAGAATCCAGGATGTTAATCGAAGCCTCAAATCTCAAGAAACATTACCAATATGTTACACATTTGATTCTCTTAAGTCACTCATATGTATAAATGCTTAAAAGTGTTTGTGGGAATTGATATATCAGATTTGCTTTTGGATGAAGCATTTAATCTTATTCCAATTATGTATGTTTATTATGTTGCAAACATCACCAAAGAATTGGGTTTTCTCTCGTTCTTTTCTTCCCCTTTGAATTTGTTCCTCATGTTGGCTATGATTTACCTCTGAACCTTTCCTCATTTGGAAATTCATATTGATACCACAATTTTGATATCAAGTTCTGCCACTTTGAAGGCCAGGATTATGTCTGAGTTTCAAGCTTTTGATTGTTGCATGATGGATTTCTTTCTTGTTTAATAGCCTAGAGAGCGTGATCTAGGCCGCACTACTAGCGAAAGTTGAGGAACCACCTTTGGCTTTGGGCATGAGATTAAATGCTTAAGTGCAAGACACGTAGATAAGAGCTAGTAATGACGTCATTTATTATTCAACTCATCATATTTCAAGCACTTTAATTATACACGTAAGCAAAAATCTAAACTTTTGGGGCAATTAATTTCAAGATTAATTTTTCCATCTTTCCCTAAACTTATTATTCAAATTCATTAATTAATGAAAAAAAAAAAAAGATATCATGATTTTGGATTGACAAATGAGAAAAGAAGGTGAAGAAAAGCAAATGTAAATGAAATTATTTTTTTGAGATAAAAATTAAGATCACTACTATACATAATTATACATTAAAATTATACTATATTTTATACATATTGTACAATTTGATCATCATATTTGGAGTAGAATTCAATATTGAAATCAATCTTTTATTAAAAATTAAATTTGGTCATTGATAAATTTAAATTTTCATTCAGTTAATATATATAATATTTTATCAAAGATAATATTTAATAAATTTAAAATATAAATTTCAATGTCTATATTTTTTTCTATCCTTAAATTACAGCATCTTTTATGAAAAAAAAAAAAATGCCCGGATCCTTGGTAAAGCCACGATGAAAACCCCATCAGCTTTTCTATATATTTGATTCCAATCAAAAGAGGGACTATTTAAAATGTACTTGAGCAAAGAGACTGATTTTGACTAACCCAATATACATGTAAACAAAATACTTATAAACATTTTCTAATAAAAAAAAAAAAGAAAGAAAAATGAACATTAAGGGATAATGGGCTCTCCTAAGCTAAGGTTTTGTCTGTCTCTAAAACAAATATAATTAGTTTTGGTGACGTTGTTGAATTTTGACCACCTGGGACCAACGGTCGGGGGATGAATTTCAAGCAGGAGCTAGAGGACAGATGACTAGGACTAGTCCTTGGATGTATTATTTTTGTGTTGTTCTGGGTTTGAATATAACAGGTACCGTGTCATTTAGTCTTTAAGGGCACAATTGTTCATTTTAATTTGTTTTTAAAATTAAAATAATTAAATCAAAATAAATTATTTTTATTAATTAAATTAAATTTTTTATTTTTAAAATTAATTTAATCTATTTGTGTAAATTTTTTGATTAATTAAATAATAAAATATATTATATTATATTATATTTTAAATTTTTTATATTTAAAATAAATTAAATAAAATTATCCAATAAAAATATTTAAATAGTAAGTTATTAAATTAAAATTTTCAATAACTTAAAATAAAATAAATAATTTCAGATATTTTTAATTTTATATAATTTTTATTATATTTCAATTAATTCGATTAATTTGATTTTTAAATCAAATTAATCAAAAATAAAAAGTATATTAAAGTTATTTTTTATAAATAATTAAATTTAATTTGATAATTAATTAATTTAATTAAAATCGAATTTTAAACTTTCATTCGCATGATTAAGAGAAAACAAGGGGAAAAAGGAACAGATCGTGAATTACTGGGTGTCCTAAAGCCTAAACCCTTTCATGAAATGGGGACCTTAGACGCGCGGAGTGATGAACAGAAGCATTGGCGTAGGAGGAAAGCCAAAAGAAAAAAAATTGACAATGATGAACACGTGGCGTTTGGACAGCAAGGGTCCACGTGGGCTTTGACTACTCGCTGAACTAGGATAGTGCCTAAATCTATGCTAGATTTGTGGGTTCATTTGAAAGACACGATAGCACCATCACCAGACATGTGCTTACGTCGCGTAACTTTAATAAAGCTGATTACAATTTTTTTCTGTTCGTAAAAACCAAGAACTTCCCCCCTCCCCCCAATCTTTGTTGTTATTGACCTTCTTCCCACTCTCAGTTCCAAGTGCGTGGCGATTAACTTCCTTTCTGTTTTAAATCGCCAAAAAGGTTCAAATGCCAATTGTCAATAGGAAATTGAATATTATTTATTAAAAGGTAAAACGGAAAATAAAAAAGACAGTAATTTGAAAAATGAGGATCCAAAATCCGTTGAAATTGTTTCTCATGAAAACAAATTAATAATCCTTAATAAGCTGAGAATTCAAGGGATGTTATGTCTTCACTATTTAATGCCTTACTTGAGTTAAATGCCATGCTGAACTAAACGGCCTAAAATGAATCTTTTAATTCCAAATCAATTCTAATTAATATATACTAATACCACTACTAATTTTGATTAATGATTTACATTAAATCCATTGCTTCTGATCATATTTGCTTAAGGCTGAATTTCAATCTCATCACAACAATGTTGAGATGTGATTAAACCCCCTTTTTTAATGCAGTTGCCCCGTAGCTATCCGTTTGAATAGTAACATCACGATTGAATTGGGTTAATGTGACGTTAATGAGAAGAAAATTTCAAATGATGGGAAAGGGTTGCAGTGAGCCATTTTACCTTATTTTTGACATTTTTATTCTCTTAAATTCTTTTAGTTCAATTTTATCGTTACATTTAAATTATTAAATTTAAAATAACTTTAAAAAAAATTAAAAAAAACATTTTTCCACTCACATTATTTTTTTCTCCAAGTAATTAATTTTTAATATTTAAATATAAAATAAAATCAAGATATATGCGTCAAAATAATTTTTACTTTATTTTCATATTAATATCTTTAATGATATTTTTATTTTCATTTTATCGATATCATTATATTTATATCCAAATATATTACTCATCATTGTTTTAATTTTACCGTTAAAATACTCAATTTAATTATTATAATAATTAATCTTATCATCATCATTATTTTTATTCTTATCAAAATTAATTATATTGTTTATTTAAATAGAGTCTATTTAAAAAAATAATGAAATATTATTATACTATCGTGTTTATGTTATTATAGAAAAAAGTTGTTTATACGATTAGATTGGATATGAAATCAAATGGAGTAATATTTGATAAAATTAATGTGGCCTGGAAGTGGAGGGCACAGTCAGGACCACTAGAGCGAGGATGCCTAAATTCTGAGAGCGATGCAAAATTATGAATAGAATTGAAGGGCTGGTTCATGTAGCATAGTAGTAATAAATTTAGGGTTAGTATTATTAATTTGATAGCTAGAGATCGAAAAAGATGGCAGCAGCTCCACATATTTTGTTCGTTGGCTTATGTTGTTCCGAGAAAATGAACCACGGGAGCTGAAACGAGCGTGGGGCATGCATTTGGATGGCGGCAACGGCAGCTGCAATGGCCTCAGGGCCCAGCTCCTTGAATCTCATTTTCAGTTATGCTAGTGGCGGCGCACGATATTTCGATTTTATCTTTTGGTTTTGTTTGTTTTCCGTATACTGTTGATAACTCATAACGTCCTCTTTAACCGTTACTTTTATATACAGTCCACAAAAATCTCTATATAAACAAACCTCCCATTTCATAGTTTAACCCAAAAAGGAAAAAATTACTCACAAATACAAACATCATCTTCCTTCTCCATGGAAACAAATTCTGATTGCTTCTGGGTTTTGTTTCTTGCTTCCAAATGCAAAACTTTCTCCTCCCAAAACTCCATTTTGTTTCTTCTTTTTCTTTGCATGGCTTGGCTTGCCATAGTCCTCTGCTTCTGGTTCTACCCTGGAGGCCCTGCCTGGGGTAAGTATTATTGGCTGCGCAAGAGAGCAGCCACAAAACACAAAAACATCATTCCGGGGCCACGAGGGTTCCCGGTTCTTGGAAGCATGAACCTCATGCTCAACCTGGCTCATCGCAAGCTTTCTGCTGCAGCCAAATCTTTTGGTGCTAAGCGGCTCATGGCCTTTAGCTTGGGTGATACACGGGTTATCGTTACATGCAACCCTGATGTAGCTAAAGAGATTCTTAACAGTTCTGTTTTTGCTGATCGTCCAGTGAAAGAGTCGGCATATAGTTTAATGTTCAATAGAGCGATTGGTTTCGCTCCTTATGGAGTTTACTGGCGAACCCTAAGAAGAATTGCTGCAACACATCTCTTTTGTCCTAAACAAATCAGCTCCACCGAGGCACAGAGGTTCGATATCGCCTCCCAAATGGTATCTATAATAGCATGTCGCGGCGGAGAGTTCTTTGTAAGTGATATACTCAAGAAGGCTTCCCTTAACAACATGATGTTCTCAGTGTTTGGTAGTAAATACCAACTGGATTCATCAAATAGTGAAACTGAAGAACTAGGTCAGCTCGTTGAAGAAGGTTACGATCTGCTAGGGAAGCTGAATTGGTCTGATCATCTTCCATGGCTTGCTGGTTTAGACCTTCAAAAGATCAGGCTTCGATGCTCAGAACTTGTTCCCAAAGTGAACAAATTTGTGAACAGAATCATTCAAGAACATAAACTCCAAACTGGGGGAAGAAAACATGATTTTGTGGACGTTTTGCTTTCTCTCAATGGACCTGATAGACTATCCGACAACGATATGTTTGCCGTTCTTTGGGTAAGCAACAAACTTATCCATGACAATTACTAAACAAAGCAATTTATTTTTATATGAATGTTTTTGTTTTCTCATGCATGATGTTTTCTAGCAGTGAAAGAGTGTGGCAAAAGAATCAAAGGTGGAATCTTGATAATGATCTAGATCAGTTGATTCCTATAATATATATACATTTTCTTAGCTTTTCCATAGACTTCTTAGCAACCAAAAGTACCATTATTCCCTTTGATTAAAGACTAGCCGTTTTTTTCCTTATCATTTTGTACTCATTACACAGGAGATGATATTTAGAGGAACCGATACTGTGGCGGTTTTAGTCGAGTGGATACTAGCGAGAATGGTGCTACACCCAGAAATCCAATCAAAAGTGCAGGCCGAGCTGGATCAAGTTGTTGGGAAATCACGGCCGTTGATGGAATCAGACATTCAATCGATGGTTTACCTGCTAGCAGTGGTGAAGGAGGTTCTCAGGCTGCACCCACCAGGCCCACTTCTATCATGGGCCCGTTTAGCAATCAGGGACACTACTATTGATGGATATCATGTGCCTGCTGGGACCACAGCCATGGTTAACATGTGGGCCATCACAAGGGACCCAGATGTTTGGGTGGATCCACTCAAGTTCATGCCAGAGAGATTCGTGTCCAAGGACAGTACTGATGTGGAGTTCTCTGTGTTGGGGTCTGACCTCAGGCTGGCTCCATTCGGATCAGGCCGTAGGACTTGCCCTGGAAAGACTTTGGGTTTGGCCACTGTTAGCTTTTGGGTCGGATCCTTATTGCATGAGTACGAGTGGGTGCAATCAGATGATAATCCAGTCGATCTCACTGAAAAGCTTAGGCTTTCTTGCGAAATGGCTAACCCTCTTAAGGTCAAAGCGCACCCTAGGCGCAGATAAAAAAGACCAAAATAATTAGAGTGAAATGATAATCGCACAATTTGTGATTTGTTCAATCTCAACAAAAGCGATTATCCTGTTAGATATGCTGGACTTAAAAATGTAAATATAGCAGGTGTTGTCTTATAAATCTCAATGCCCTATTGCCCTGTGTCTTGATCTTGACCTGCATAGCTATTATACGAATGTGTAAATTGCTGTAGCTATATTTACCTGAAATATGGTTTTGATCTTTTGGCTTTCCTTACTGAATACATAACAGGGTTCCCTATCATTCAATCGCTTCTGCTCAGGTTAATCCAATCGAAAAAGGAGGACTCTCAAGCTCTAATTAACAACAGCAGGTGCAAAAATTTATTGCTCAGCATGCTTTTAACTTGATTGCATTAATATTGTTGCTTTAATTTTCTAGTGTCATATAGTTTTCGTGGCTGTGGGCCACGAAATTTGATGCATACATCACAATTCACTATGTAGTCTTCACGTTGCTGCATACTTTTTAATAAAACAAAATAACATCTCTGCTTTTTCTGCACAAGGTCATGTCCAAGGCACTTCCTTTTTAAACCGTCCATGGAAGTCCAAGGAAGTCCAAGGCGAACGAAAGTGGACATCGTTGTGCATTTCAAGAAGAAAATACGTATATATATATATACATATATATATACACATATATATATGTATATATATATGGCGACGAAATGTGTCTCAAAAGGGACTAAATACTATCGTTCGTCAGCTGTAGGCTGCCGATTATACGGTGTATATTGAAAAACCAAAAGGGTTGGATGATGCAGCAGGAAGATAAAGTAGTGAAACATCGTCGAAGGGTGAGTAAAAATTTGTTTAAACCGACTAGATTAATTAAAATCGAGTAAATTTGATTGATTCAATTTGATCTATTCAGTTTTAATTATAATTAATTTTTTTATCGATTAAATTGATTAATTCGATTGATTTTGATTCTTAAAATTAATAACTTAATTGACCAAATTAGTTGATTTTTTAATAATTAAAAGTAAAAAATTCAAAATAAATATATTTATTTATTTTTTTATAAAATATTATTGAAATTATTAAATTTTTTAGTGATTTAATTCGAATAATATTTAAATTTAAGTTTTATTGAATTGAATTTATTATTAAATAATTATTTATAATAAAAAATAAAAATTTGATTATTATTAAATTTGTGACTAAATAATTATTTATAATAAAAAATTTAATTATTTAACTGAATCAATCGAATTAAATCGATCTTAATCAATTCAATTATGATCAATTATTTAAATAATTTTATTTATTTAATTATTTATTAAATAAAAATTAATTAATTTAATTATTAATTTTTTTCAATCTGAATCAACCAATCGCTCGTCTCTACTAATCGATCAGTTCAATAAGATGAACAAGTGTCACGATCAACAAAAAAGACAGGAAAAAGACTGACCACCCATTGCTATTATTCAGTAGCTCTTGTTACCGTTAGACGACGCGCTTGGCTGGTATAGAAGTTTTCATAGTCTAAAAGATTTCAAATCAAAAAAAAAAATTTTATGTCAAAGATAAGATCAAATCTCTCAATTATCCAAGTTCTTGATTAATCACCTACAACCTAAGTCAGGCAAAATCTCAGAAATGGGTGGTTAATTATATGGTTTATATGGATTTTTATGTGGAAATTCTTTTTCTATTTTTACTTGATTTTATACATTTGAACAACTTAGATAAGTTAACATTATAGGTTAATACAAAAAGGATAGAGGGAGAGAAAAAATCAATAGAAAACAGATTGAAAGAGGCTGCCCTGCATCTCTATGTTCTGTTTAATGCTGTTGAAATGGCAGCACTGCTTTACTGCTTTACTTCTTTCATTAATTCATTTATGTTCAAGTGGTTTTAGTGTAGAAGGAGTCCTTTTAACCAGCCAACAGTTTTGAACTACGTAGTACTGTTATTATTCCTTAGTCTGGAACATCTTATCCATCTCTGTCCGGAACTCCTTGCTTAAACCATCTCTTTTGAACTACATTGCTGAATATTGCACATAGAATTACATGCAAACGAGACAGATAATGAAAATTGAGTTTGGTTGCGTATATATTTCAAATCTATCCATCGATCGATCATTCTATATATCCAAATGAAAGGAATGAACTTTCGCTTTTTCGAAGGATGAAAATGGCAGCGTCGAGAGTTAGGCATATAGCATATACTGTTTCATTTTCCTTTTGGGAAAAAGTAGTGATAAAAAAAAAAAAAAAAACCACGATTTTGATGTTTCTTCCGAACAAAATTGCTATCATCTTCTAAGAAAAAGCAAGGTACATTTTCGACCTTGCCTTTTTGTCGATTAGGTTTTCTTATTATCTGAACTTGGGTTGGGGTTGGGGTTGGGGCCGGGGCCGGGGCCATTGCCGATGCTCTTCACCTTGATTAGGGTTATCGCATATGATGAGCAATGAATCGATGCCACGTGAAACGGACATTGATTGAAAGACACTAATGGTACTATGCGAAAAGTTCTTCACATTGAAACAACTTTGTCTATTGCCCCAGACATTGATTGTGATCTTCTCTGTCTGTTGCGATAACACCAAATATTCTTGCCGAGTCTTAATCCTAAACCCATATAAAACCCAAGCAAAAGCAAGTTGTTATATTCTGTGCAAAATTTAGAGATAAATATGTCCAACTTCTGTTAAAACAATGTCTCTTGGCTTAGGCTTGGTGCATTTCACATCATACTCACACGTCCTAATTTCATTCGCCGGGCCAAGCTGGAGCGAGCAGTTCATAAAACCAAATCAAATCAAATGCAAATGCAAATAAAGTTTGCTCTGATAACGAATTGGCATTTATTTTTTTTAGTCAATAAATATTAAATTTTATTTTTTTCTTAATATATATTACATTATGTTTATCAGCATATATATATATATAATATGTATTTATGTGCAAAGCAATATGCTAAAAAAAAAAATCACAGAAGTACAAGGAGAGGAAAAGTTGCAGTGGCTTAAAAAAATGCAAAATCACATTTTAGTATGTGATTAGAGACTTAAAGTTTTGTTGAGGAAATTAGAAAATAAATTGAATTTTTGTTAAATCTATAATCATTATGATTTAATGTTTGTGATAACTATCTCGATTTTAAAGATTTACAATAATTATAAGTGAATATAATGAAGAAATAAATAATAATATGATTTTAATTTTCTCAAATTATAATATATATTTAAAATCTTCTTTAGTAGTACTACAGTATTATTTTTTTATTTTTGCAAATCTTGCGAATTGGAAAATCTTATGCTCATAATGACACATGCTGGTGACGTCTCCAATTGGGCCATACATGAACATCTTTGATTGATTCATTGTTATCCCTTGGACAGAGCTAGGTGTGGCTACAAATGAGATCCTATTACACGTGTATCAAACCATGATTCTGGGGGGTCCAAGGGGATATTTTCGTGCAGATACATGTAAAGGTCATTGTTATGTGGCTAAAAGAGATAGAGGGAAATACCCAGAAAAACATGAGGACAGAAAAAAAAAAAAAAAAAAAAGAAAGAAAGGAACGACTTCAAAAAATTATCTGTACAATATATGACTCTTGGGCTAACTAATACTGGCGTATACGGCTCATATTTTTTGCTGCCTTTATTGACACGCATTGTCCTTGTTAACAAGTCCCACCATTGGTCTCCCCTGTTTGATTGATGATACCCGTATTCATACCTTTTAGAGTTATGATGTAGATCTTTTATTTAGTCCGAAATTTAAATCAATTAGATTTAAATTTGATTTAAGCTCAACTATTTAATTATTTATATTTTTTTATATTTTAATTTTTTATTTATTTGATTCTAAATTTTTATAATAAATCATAAATTATTTAAAATAATTTGAACACTAATCAAAGATAATCTCAACAATTAAGATTTAAACATAATATTTTCATATATTAAAGGAAGATTAAAAAGAAGCCAAATCAAGGAATCAAAGTCAAATATAATTTGAAAAAAATTTTGAGGATTCTAAAAATAAAAAAAAATCTAGATAATTTTAAAAATTAATTAAATCGATTTTAAAGAAGATAAAAAAAAAATCAATTCAAAGCATAATCAGATCTGCAATCTTTTTCATTCAACACAATCCTTAAAATTCCTAACAAAAGGCCATATATTAACACCAATCAACCACACACAAAAAGAGGGAAAAAAAAAGAAAAATTCTAGAGATCTTAGTTTTTTGTTTTTGGAAGGAATCATTCAAGTAAATTCTGAAATTTTCTTTTTTGGATTCTGTGATTTTATTTCATTTTGAATTTGATTTGATTTTCGAGTTCTTGAATTCGGGTTTTAATTTTTGAGTTTGATTCCAATTTCTATTGAGTTTCTAAGATTTTTACTGGGTTTTTTGTTAGCTTTTAATTCTAGGATTTTTATTAGGTTTTCAAGAATCTGAAAACTTTTATGGATTTAGGATAAACTTTTCAGTTGAAGTTTGAAGTTTTTGCTTGAACCTGGCGGCTTGCGTAAAGATTGCACTTCAAGTCTGACTTGATCGCATGTTTTTTTTTCTTTCATCCTATTTTCTGTTTTGATTTTATTTTATTTTATTTTTTCTATTTTATTTTCATTTTATTTTTAGATTTTTTATTTTTACTTGTTATTATTATTTTCATCTTTAATTATTATTTTACTCATTACTTTAAATTAAAAATTTATTATTTATTTTTTAAAAATAACTTTATGACTTTGATTTGATTTGATTTGATTTATTTATTTAAAAATAATAACAAAAAAATGTTTCTAAAATAAATTTATGAATCTTTTCAAACTATTGAAAGATTTAATACATTTTTTAAAAATAAATTTACAAGAAAATCTCACTAAACTATTGAAAGATCTACATCAAAGTAAATCTTACCAAACTATTAAAAGATTTTACTAATTATTTTCTTGAATAAAAATATATTAATGAACCCGACGACGAAACCTCTTCAGAGTGGATACTAGTCTCCATGAATAGTCTTAAGGTAAGAAAATTATCTTAAATTACTACCAAACTATTGAAGTAAATTTAGGATTAGTTTTCAATAATAAAACGATTTGGTAAAATTATAAGAATATTTTAAAACTTGGATAATTTGAAAATTAACTGATACCATCCATTGAATTGGTGCTTTGAGGGTGCTATAACATTACGCGTAACTACACTTCTGAACTTAAAATCTAATTTCGTGGATTAAAATTTACTATTTAAAGATATC